CTATTTCAACTTACATAGGATTTTTAGGTTAATTTTACGCGATGACAAGCAGTAGTCATTAATTTATTAAAGCGAAATCAGAAAGTTGTAGAATTTTGTCATTAATATCATATTTTAGTTGAAAATAAAATGATAAGTTGAAAAACACAAATTATAAAACGATGTATTTGCATATTTCTTTGAGACGAATGGAAGAGATAATTACTACATCAGAACTTGTGACTTAACGAGATAAAATATAATTCTAAAGTAGTTGTTACGCAAATCATTTCTCTAGCCATTCGGAACTGTAACGAACAAATTAGGTCACATCAAAATTTATCAGTTAACATAGCACATTAATTAAAACATTAAAAGTAAAGAAACCACCTGCATTACATCTGAATGCAGACATTATAGTAAGTCTTGATGGTAAACAAACAACAGTACTTTTTAACCATTCGCGAAAACAAAAGAATTGTTGTCATGATGTTGACAAATTTATTTATGCGACTCTTCGACCATTTTTCCTTTAATAAAATAACAGAGAAAACCATGATCGATATTGCCGAAAATTTGTTGGGACTACTCCAAAACTAATGTTGCTGCACAGTTAAGCAGCAATATTATTTACTATATCTCTCTTAAACGTTTTTCTTTCTTGCACAGCGTATAGGTTATATTTGATGTTACGTTACAAGTGTCTTACAAAATCGGATTTCTAACCTAGGAGCTATGCAAAGAATTTCAGAAAAGAATCTCAGTTTCTCTAACTTTAATATTTATAAATATATTGATGTAATGTTAATATTTATTATATACTTACATTAATTGCGTTCGGGACATCGATAATCGTAAATGCTCAACATATATACAATATGCACGAATAACAAACAGTCTCCATGCTGCGTCTGATCTGACAATGAGCCAGCTAGCTTCGCCATCTCGAGTTTGCCCAAATGTTGGAAGTGATGGCCAAAAAATTCGTTAACAGTAGATTACCTAGCATCAGTAATAGAATTAACGGGAAATAGTCTGTATTTTCGTCGTAAAAATATCCTTTCAACTGACAAAATGCAACGTTAGCGAAGGTTTAGCACCTGTCTAGAAGTGGTATTAACTAATTATGGGACCCTGCTGATGAAATGGGTGGCAAAATATAGCTGACTCTGGCTATATAGTAGCGACGAAATAAAGAGTAATCTTCTGTACGAAGTTAAACGAAATTGATGATCCACACAGGTTCATAACGTGTATGGCGACTTAGCTAACTCGACTAACTTAGCTACTTCGACATAACTAAAATCAGCTTAATTGCATAACAATCCCAATATTGTCACGTAAGGATTCAGTCTCGGGAACGGTATAGATTGGGATCGATATATTTACGTGACATGTGCTTCACAGTACAAAAATGCATTATTAAGATGTAATTTTCTTTTTAAACTGGAATATAACCATAACGGAAAAGAATATTCCCCCCTTTCACAGGCATTACTAAAATCAATAGACTTTTGAGTTCTCTGACTCGATACGCAAGTAACACGTGTAAAAATCATGATTGCAAATTTAATGTTGGAGTTTTGAACACATCGAGTCCTAGAAGGTGGATCAGCTAAATTTTCGTGCATACTCTCGATATCTTTTATAAATTAAGTCTGTTTGGACCTAGCAAAAGTCATAAATGCCATGTGCTGAAAAATCTGATTCGGAACGACTCAAATAAATAAAAATAGTTGCTAATTTATGTAGGTCTACAAACTGAAGACAGACTCCTAAGTTAGTGTCATAGTGGACTTGATCACCGTTAGCTTAAAGGCTAAAGTATTTACCATTCTAATGCTTACACATCTTCGATCCATTTTACGTGATGTTCATTAAAATGATCAATCATCTCTGACTAATGTCAATAACTCGTAGTTATACACTCCAAATTTGTACTTAACAAAGGCCTATTACCATCCATGTGCTCATTTACTGTATACATAATAATCTTCTCGGAATGGAAACGGGCAAGGACACCGCTATTCAATAGGAGTATTGTACTGAATTTTCTTGATTCTTGATAAAATTGTTTTCCTAATGAGCATTCGTTTCCGGCGAAATATATATAAAGGCGAATATTTCTCCGCGCAGATCAGTCGTGTGGTAGAAAAATGCAATTCTACATTATCCTTTTACTACTTATTAGCTGCCATCAATCCACGTTGGCAGGAATTTATATTAAAGGTATTACATCTTGTTGATTCGTTTTATTGATTAACAGACGCCGAGGGAAATTGCCAAACTTAATATTAAAAAACGAATCGATCATCCGCTATTTTTCAAGCAACAAAGTTAAAATGGTTATGGCGGTTTTATTGCAGACCATAATAATTTACGACCAGTTCAAGGCGACAATTTCTTCCGTGGAATTGGGGATTGGTTTGGCCATTTGAAGGATCGGTTATATGAAAAATTTTTCGGGCAACAAACAACCACAGAGTCAACGGAAGAATCTGCTTTGCCAGACGACATATTGGATCTGGATGAGTTTCAGTTGAGAAGGAAATTAAGGAACCGTAAATGGCTTCGTGTGGATTTGTGTATGTATAAAATTATAATCGTTAACACGGTAATTAACTTATAATTTTTAATTTATCGAATCGTTCTGGTTATATACAATCCAGCGACCCTTATTTTTGACCCTAACCGGGATTGGGGATTCCGAGTTGGTAATTGGTACTTCATTCGCAAGGACTCTAAAAATGTTAATCAAAAAGATAACTCGAACGAATCGGATCTCCAAGGTGTTATGCGACCAACAGAATCGGTTGAAGTTAGAACTGAAAGGACCTTGGATGATACTAATCCAGCAACTGTGGATTCTTTATCAATCCCATCGTCTACGGTAACATTGGCGACGGATATTGTGACGCAATTAATGACGCAGCAAACAAACCCATATATACCAACGGAAAGTAGCACGCAAATCGATGCGTTTGAAAATCTCTCATCAAGGATAGAAAAGCAGACAGAAGATTACGGGGCTAACGACTATTTACAACACAAAGGATCCGTAGAAGTCTTAATGGGATGATAACGTATTTTAACAATAATTACATTAATTCCGTTTCTGTAAATTTTACACATTTATTGATACCTTCCGCGTGTCTTGGAAACATTTTCAACTTTTCGTATGAAAATAACAACATTTCCATTGTTAGTAATACATTACAAAATAATTGCTTCCCCATCCAACATGAGGTGTAAAAAGAAATTGCATTGTTGTTTTTCATCAAGAAGAGTACACGTTTATTCCGTAAAACTTATCATAATCACGATTTTATAATAATATATTATAATAATTTTTACGTCAATGTTGAACAAAGCGCAGTCTTCATGATTCTTGTGGTTTTACTGCAATAAAAAAAGAAAGAAAAAAATTGTCAGTGAAATAGTCAATTTTTAATGCTAACCACTCTTGCAATCAACATGCACAAATATATCTTGCACCTAACAGGATACAAGAAACCAAAGATGGAGCAAGGATACTGCAGGATAAGATGAAAGAAATTAAGTATTTTTTCATTCATTTCTCGAATGAAATACTTTGATGAAAAGAATATGTAGCGGACAAAAAGAAGAAATATAGGGCCTAGTTAAAGCACACTAGTTATATATTAGTCAAAAGCCTAAGTAAGTTTTAATTCCTTTTATGCAGCCGTTGGTTAATAGAAAATATTACAGTATTCTACATTACGCATAGTTAATTAATTAAAAATAGTAACATGTTACTATAGAACAGCACAATGTTTTTCAAACTCCTTTGTATTAAATAAATGAACTATTTATTATGGTTAGGAAGCAATCAAGGTCTACGTTATGTCTTCACATAACGACTACACTGCTGATTGTAAAAGTAGGGAACTACAGAAGTAGTAGTGTAGAGAAATAAGGGTAAAGGAGTAAAAGAAAATTAGAAGTTTACATGCTAACCATATGTGAGCATCATAATAAAGTTCCCTCTTGAGGCTTGTAGTACAAATAATGAGCATTTGTCTACTTCCTTCCCTAGAATAGAAAGTGTATACCACCATATACCATGCATATAAAAGAAAAAATATGTTCTTGTGTCCTTGTTATATAAAATGTCACGAATAATATTGAACATGCACTTATTCAGCTTATGAACAATTAGAAATTGAGAATGAAAGAAAAACTGAAAGTGTTTTATCATTCACTCTAATTTGTACTGCATATAGAATATGTTTCTCAAGTGAAGATCAAGTGGATATGCTCATAAAGTTATTAAAGATATGAATGTTATCTATTAATGAATGCACACTATCTGCAGTAAACAGTATGTTTGCACATGGAATTGCTAATGTAACTTCAAGGCCGACAGAATTACTTTAAAGAACTAGTAATTATTGTGCACATTGTATATACAGTAAAATATTTTTAAAAATATTAAAAATGGTTAGATATAGCATGTAGAGTAAATACAAACAGAAATAAAATATTCTGTTTGATTAGAGACTTTTATAATCAAATGTATTAAAATAAATGTAAGCATTAAAAAATATATAATTATAAAACAGAAAAAAGTATTTATGAAGCGATACCAATTTTACCATTGTTTCAAGAATGATAACATGGAGTTTGATATAAAAAAATGTGAAAAATAGCAACCACCACCAGTTATTAATTCTGACAAAAATAGTATGTTGCTGAACTGACTATTGAGAATGGAACAGTTTCAAAGTAATCACATTTATCTATATCACAAATTTAAAATGATTAATAAATGATGTTGGATCAAAATAATTATATCATACCTTTTTAGATGCAGCTCCCACTTTACTCTTCTTTGTACCCCTAACTTTCTTCATTCTATTTTTACGTTCCTTACGTTGTTTTCTTGTCTGTTTCTTTTTCTCAAAGAGTCCATGCCTTGCTAGCCTATATTTTGGTTCAAATTTCTTGGCATAATCCAATGTGTCATAGATTAGTGCAAATCCAGTCGATTTGCCACCACCAAAGTTAGTTTGGAAACCAAAGACGAAAACTACGTCTGGTGTAACTTTGTACATTTTAGCCAGTTTCTCGCGGATTTCTGTTTTACGTACTGACGGATGGCTAGGATGGAATACATCTACCACCTACAACATAATAACAGTACATTACTTCTATTTTAATTCTAAGTAATTGAAATATCAAAAATTCATCAATGCACTTACCATTTGTTTGCGGCATAATAGCCGATTGCTCATAAACTTCCTAGTTCTGATTGTAACTGTGCCCTCCGTCTGTAAATAAAACGATAACTTAGGTTAGGGCTTATGTTTTGTTTTATGTATTCTTGTTACAGTTATATTATACTAAATGCAAATGTGACGTAACAAGTAAAAATCATTTATTTTACAATTTAATCATTTGTTATAAAGAAATATTTATATATGCTACTGTACTGACATGTTAGCAGCATGTATACTTTTGGTTAGAAGGTTCATGTCAGAATAACATAAGATTTTTATATTGACAAAAATGTAATTTACAAATTATATTTATACAAGGAGAAGAATGGTACATTTTTTAAAAGGTTTCAAGCAAGTTAAGCATATTTTATTCAGTGATTATTCAAGAGTTTTGGGATACAAAATACATACCATTTTGCTTGGTTACAGTACCACTAGTAAAAGGACACTTACGGAAACGGGAAACGCCATCTACTGTGACTGATTCTGCAACCAAAGTCCCCACGATATTATAACATAAACGTTTATTTATCTATAACTAATATTATACTGATAATAGTAAAAATTATGTTATTAATAAATGTTATTATATCACACATTTAAATAGTTCAAACGGTATCATCAAATAATTGAAATTTAAAATAGAATCATTTCATGCTTGATTCTCCTTAGTAACTTTACATCGACATTTCCTAATGGAAAGAGATGTGTTCCCATGATGTATTAGAATTTAAAACGGTTTATAGTTAATACAGACAATTATAATTAAATCTATTACAAAAACTTGAACTCTTAAATAGCAATCATCTCTTTGTCTCCGACAACAATGGCAGCACTGTCGCAACAGCGAGTTGTTAGCCAATTCGATCAGAGACAATTTCATTCTGACCTCCGTAACGTCGTGCTGAACCTCCGAAATTGCGTGATATTAAAGGGCAAAACGATATTATCAGCTGAGCGAAGGAAGAAGAACATGGAAAGTTCTGAGAAAGACCGTAATTATATTTAGCGCTGGTTGCAGCGTTCCGTCCATCTGATTGGTTCTCTGTGAAGTAACGTCCATTACTCTTCTAGGAAGTTTCGAGAACGGGTACGGACGGTAATATTGGTGAGAGTTCTATGCGTTTACAACAGTTCGTCAAATACTATTACGTGGAGCAAAACGAGCGTTTACAGCACGCGGATATTTCTCACGAGCGGTTTTCGTTCTGCTAATACAGGTAAGGATAAACCGTCGTTTAACGATTTGCGGAAATGCATTTTAGAAAATGTGCGCAGACGGAATAGAATTTTCGTCATTGAATTATGTGATCGATCAGGGGCTCATGAATTTGCTTGGGACAGGAATTCGCCGTAGCTTTTTCGTAAGCCGAGCAACGTTAGAACATTTGAAGGTATCGCGAAATATTAACGGGAATTTTAACGTGGCTCTAATTGTTGTCGGACTAAAAGTGGACGTTTGAAGGTTGAATTATAGATCTATGTACGCTTTAGCATATTGAATATTACGAAATACGCGTCAATTAATTTTATCATAGCGCGAGCACTTGTGATCACCCGTGACTCGCAGTTTAACGCTGAAAAATGGTGATTGTCCCTATTGCCTAACTTGTGTCAAGACGAAACGCGGTTCGAGATAGAAACTGTATCTGTCATTAGATGCTTCGAAAGTCGGTTATAGAACTGTGTTTACTCCTACTGCGTAGAACCCGAGGCAGCGCGAATTTTTTTTATTTAATAAAATGATAATTACGGCAGTTCCTTGTATTTTCTTGCTTGATTTGTAACCGGTAGCCAAGCCTTCGACATGTATGTATACAAGTATCGGTGTGCACATATGTATATTAACAGAAACCTCTAGAAAGTGTGGTGTTCTTTGTTCATAACACGATAGGAGGTGCGTTATACCGAAACCACGTTTTCATTTCCTCTTCCACATCAATTAGTAGCATTTTGGTATTCTAAAATGATTCTGGTCGCCATTTTGAAACCGAAGACGCACATGGATAGAATTTGTTGGAGATTTCTCTGTACGACGTACCATTAATACGCTTTGTACCCTCTCGTATTGATTATGGAATTTTCAGTACACGTAGATTAACTTTCGTGCTCGCGACAAATTTCGAATTTTATTCTATATGCGTTCAAAACTGTTGTATCATTATTAAAATTAGAAATATGCGAAGTTCAAGGTCATACCTTGTAATTCCATTTTTGAATCTTGTTTTTGCGCATTCAAATACATACTCGATCTATTCTGACGTCTAGCAACGATGTCAATGACAAATGAATTTTTTTCTCCATGTTGTCTATTTCAACAGTTATAAGTCTAACTATATATTCTGGAATATCATGTTGATCTGGTTATATTTCGAACAAAGCCTTTGTTTAATAACAATTTAGACGCTCACTGTCGAGTTTATAATGAATTCATAAGATGTATCATAAATCTTGTTTATTACCATGTCAATAACTGATCTGATTAATAGCCCAATTACATTGCAGCATTTCTTATTCATAAGATGATTTGTAATTTTTGTTTATTTTTCTACGATTTTCGTAATATTATGTCTATATAGCTATTGAAATTTGTGTATACATTATTATGTAGTATATGTTTTTTCAATTAACGTTATTTTGCATATGAAATACAATGTACACTACACAATGACTTGCAAACAAGCAATGACTTGTAATTTATAGTTATAAATCAACCTTTTTTGCTATTATTTTATTAGTATGATAAACTAAGTACCAGTGAAGTGACGATATCATTTTCATGCTTCCATTATGATATGTACATATGATATGATGATGATAACGAAATTTTGATCTCAAATGTATATACAATTGAGTCTTAATAAT